CGATTAGTGATCCGTATACGGTTGTTGATGTAATTTCATTATTGGAACCATTCAGCTGCTTGCAAAACATATTGGCGATTATGTTCACATTTTTGCGTGATAATCTGCGGAACATCGCGTCTCTACTGCGTAAAGTTCTTGTCAAGCAAAGCTTTGACTATTTTTAACTTACCTATAGGAGATGAAGCAACTTGCATTTGACGTGTTCATGAAAAGAGGCAAGGCTACACACCAACCTCAAGCTGGGCTTACTTTACCGTGGGCTGGGGTTCACTACGGGATTTAGCCTCAAACTTATGCTCAAACTGAGGTGCACTCCATTTCGCACTGACAATGAGTGAAGCTGAGCCTCATTCAGCGTTCACACTTTGGGATTTAGCACCGCCCTCTTTCATGAGCAATTTCATTGCAAGATTACCACTTCATCCTAAAGGTTCACCCCGAAACTACAATATTCATGTGTTATTATTTTGCGCTTGCTTGAAATGATCATATAATAACAGGTGATAATAACTGAACTCAAGGTTGAGGGAATCGATCGAGGCAAAAAATGTCTGAAGAAAGACGTGAATTACGCAGTTGGTCGATAGAGCCGAGGGATCGGCGTGTACATGCAGTAAGTCCGATGCATTTACATGAAGGTCGATTGTTGAATTCATTACTTCATGAAGCACACAACATCTCGACATCCAATAATAAAATAAACTCATCACAAGGTTTCTTCTATTTATTCTCGTTTTTCCGAATTTATCTTCAAATTTTTTTTACTTTTTGTTCATTTCTTCGTTTTTCACTCATAAAATTCGCGAACGCTTAGCAAGAACTACCTGTTCGGAATGGATAAGGAAGTAATCCTCAGGCCGAAATTAGAATTTTCTGCAAAGGAGGCAATTTCCAGTTATTAGTGATGGTTGTAATCAGAGATAGAAAAGCGTTTTTGGACTTCCTGAAGAAAATGTCTGTTCTGATTGTGAGAGAATAAGCAACTTTTAAGTAAATACGAGCCTCGCATAAAGTTACTGTCGGAAAATAGTTCGAAAATTTGACCGTTACACGTAATGTTCAGTGCATCTAATAACTTTTTGCATCAACGAGAAACTGCAATCATTTTGGGTTATTCTGTGATGGCGAATCAGTCCTTTTACGAACAAATAATCTCACTTCAGTTTCGACGATATTTGATTTGAGCATCGTTTCAATGTCAGCTTACCACATCACATTGAATTTCTGTTCATGGCCTTGATTGAAAATTTTAAGTTGCTCTGTCAGTTTCTGTACATTTTTGTATGAAATTGAACATTTATGGTCACTGTTTGAGTGTTACTTTTCACTCGAGCAAATCATTGGAAGGCAATGGAACACTGATTTACTGCAACATTTTTGATGAGTTGAAACTTCTTGTAAATTAAATCTTATAACATATGTTTCTTCATGAAATCATTACTTATCAAGCAAAAATCAACATAATATCACCTTAAATATGTATCAGTTCAATTTTCCTTTTTCTGTTCCGTTCCAATGATTATCTGATGATTGCTTAAAGTGCTTTTCGTACAGCTTTTGAAAAAAATTAACTTGAAATGTAGATTCTAGTCGCTTATTCGTTTTAATCGCTCAGAATGCGTACTCTTCTTTTCTTGCTTCATTTTCGTGCGGTAATTTCATCGTCAGTAAGACGGAATGGAGAATTAAACCAAATTTGTTGACGAAAATAAGTGATAAAATTTTATGATTTGATAGTCCAGAACAAATTGTTTGAATAAATTTATTCATAACATAATGGAAGTAGTGAGCATCTTATTATAGGTATTGTAGATGAGTTGGTGAGTAAACATTTCATGTGATATATTTGTAATGACTTCATTGATGATACTGCAAGTTGGATGGAACGCTGATTAGATGTGATGTATTCTGTGGTTTGAGATGTGCTAATGTAGAATTTCTTAGGTTTTTATGCATCGAGGAATAGTGTGAATCGAAAAACAAGAAAATGAATTAATTCAAGCAAAAATATTTATGAAATTAGATTCGAAGGCAACCTGCACTTTGATTGGAAAAAGATCAGAGTGATTCACGAAATGGAAACCATTTTTCAATTGGTTCCATTTCATTCTAAAAAGAAAAAAAAAGAAAGAAAGAATTCTAAAAAGAATTATTCTAAAAAACTTTAGAATTCATTCTAAAAAGAAAGAATAATTTCCAACATCCGTCATGTAGCACGTTGCAGTTTCGTTTACTGTACACATTTCGAATGGATATCGCAGCAAGCGATTTTTTTTGCTTCATTTCACTCCAATTATTGGCTTCGGAATTAAAATTTTAAATCAAGTATTGGTGAATTACAATTAGAATAAATGAAATAAATTGACTAAAATGATTCATTGTTTGATCGCTAAACGAAAAAATCAACGAACAAATTATCATCAAATAATTTCACAAATGCAACGCTTCGGTAATAGTGCTGCTAGCTGGCATGGTCGGTACCATACTAATTCATCCTTTTCATTGATAACATCGAATCAGTTTTCCCTAATTCAGTTCGAATGTAAGTATTCTATCAATGAAAGTGTTATACATGTATTTCATAAACGTTCAGTCAGTTTCTTATAGTAATCGTCATTTTCAATTCAAATGACTTGTCTCCTTATCCTCATTCACTTCTCACTTCATTTCTAGGTCGAGCTCTATCTATTTGATCAAAAATTTAACTCTCTCGAACTTGCTGATTAGGTAATTTGTCTCATATTCTTCAAAGAGTTGTTCATTCACTGATATAACTTTCGCTAATAATATATGTAATTTCAGCAAATTATATATCCATTGGAATATATTAATATTTGCGATATATCACTTTGAGATCGAGCCAGTTGAATCAACGGCTCAACTCATTAAGTCTGAACCATAAATGAATCAAAAATGTCTGTCTCAGTTGAACCCAATGAGCTGATACAAAATCATTTCAACATCTATCGTTGAACCGTCAGAAGTTTCAGCGAATGGACTTGAGAAAGAACAAATAGAAGATGCTCAGTTGCAGCATATGATTGATAAATATCAATCACAAGTTCTGCAACAACAGCAAAAACAACAGCAATGCATGTCAGTTCACAGCAACCATGAAATTATCAGGTATCATTTAATTTCAGTTAGTTTCATTGAGTATTCTTTTCTCTATTAATGATCGTCAATATCGTCCCTATTGTTCTCACCAATAATTTTTGTTGCTGTTCTCTCTATACAGAACACTCATCAGAATGCAAGAAAGCATTCGTGATTCTTTGCTATTCAACCTTATTTATTATCACGAAAAACAACATCCAGTTCCTTCGATAATTTTACCCAGTTTGTTNTCCTCAGCACCTCAAATACCCCCAATGAGTCATTCACAACCATGCCTCATCACGATCGCTGATCAAAAAAACGAAATGTATTCTTTGTTGTTTCATCTTTTGCGTCTATACGCTATAATCTTCAGTTTGTTCATACCTTATAAAATCTCTCCCACGATTCGAGATAATTTATTCGATGTCGATCTCATGATGTTCAAATAGTTCTGACGAAATCTCAGTGAATACAAAAAAATTTAATTTGCTCTTTGTGGTATCTTAAAAAAGAAAAAGATCAGTATTGCTTTCGACATCGTATTAATGCGGTCGATCGTAATATTAATGCTAACCGAATTAAAGAATCGGTGAATCAGAACCACCATCATATGCACACGCATCTTCTTCAAAAGAAGCATCCGTTGAAGCATCAACGCGTGAAAATGCGTCCTCTCTCAAAGCAAAACTCTTAACCAGTCAGAAACTTCTGACAGCACTTCAAGATGAGAATTCTTCATTGAAACAACAATGCGAATTCTTGAAAAAGAAAACAACTCGTTTACAGCAAGTTTGTTCACTTCACTCATCTCTTCCGTTTCTTCCCAGTTTCGTTTGCACAATCCATATGTACTAGTAGTTGTATATAGCTATAATAATATGTATAGATCGTGCAAACTTCTATTATTATTGCATTGCTATCATTGTTTTGAAATGCATTTTCTGTTGTTGTTCTTCCAAATTTTCAATTTCCCATTCTTGGTCGTTACTTCCGGCTAATTTTACTATACTCATAACTGCCATAAGAATCAATTTTAGGAACTTAAAATCAAATTCAGTCGGGTTTGATTGAATAAAATTGTATCTGAGTTCAATTCTGATTGAAATTTACCAGTAAATGCCAGCCGATTGAATGATTCATCTAATCGCATTACCTGAAAATAACTAGTCAAGTTCAGCTGGAGAGTGCATATGAAACGATCGAACGAGAATACGAGACGTTAACGTCTCAGAAAGAACGTCAGGATAGTCTCGAGAAGACAATCCGAGCTAAACTCGAGAACCAATTGATGAGGTGAGCGGTTGACTGATCTTTGTCTTTTGATTCTGCTTATCACTCTTCCGTTCATCAGATCATTATTCAATCATTAATATCACTGTATACAACATTTATTTTTACGGAATATCGAAAGAAATAATTTTAACAGAGATAAGGAGAATGAAAAATAGAAATAAATACAGTGATAAATGAATGAATTTAAGTTATGCGACAGAAAATGAGATGTTACGCGAACAAGTTGATAAGTTGACGCAACGATTACAAATCGAACCACAGGCAGATCAGTTGAATAAACTGAATTTGATCCTCAATGAAATGATACCACAAAGTCAGTTTAACTCAAATGTAATATAATTGGACGCTCTTGTTGTTTTTATACTTTTGATGTTTATAAACAATTTATCACTTTTACTTGATTATCAAGATTTCACGCACCCTAACTGTCCATTATTTTTGTTTTTAATGAAAGTGTAAGATTGTAACCGTTTCAGATAAAGAATTGTTGGCTTGTAAAGAAAGGCAAAAGATGGATATTGAAGCATTGGAAATCACTCTGAAAGATCAGCGAAATCATATACAGGTAAATGCTGTGATTTTTTAAATCAACAACTGTGTTTCCAACCAAAAATATCTGCTAATGAGTTTTCATATTTTGTTTGTTATTCCTAAAGGATTCGTATGCGAATAATATAAACAGTAATAATGTAAACGCTCATTGAATGTAAAAACTGCAGTGAATTTGTTCCTCAGATTCTCGAAAAGGCTCTCAGTAACGCCCAAGAAAAGGTTTGGCGTAAGGATAAGGAAGTTGAAGAACTCACGGCTGGTGCCGAACGGGCCGCAGCTTTACAAAGAGCTGTTGAGGTGAGTGAGTACGTATTCATCTCCTTCGGGACTGAAATGTATTCATTTATCTACTTATTCAAAAATTGTTTTGCTGACAAAATCCTCGCAAACCTAACCCAAATTATTTCAGCCCTCTTACACGCTATGATGCGATGTTTACAAAAATTCATATTGATCTGTAAATATCTATTCCGTTCGGATATTCATCGACATTTTTTCAAACATTATATCTAGTCTCGTTTACTGCCTCATTTATTCGTCATATGATTAAGAAATGATACTATACTTTCACAAGTCTCAAAACTGCTCAAATTGTGCAGCAGTGAACTTCAGAAGTCAGTATTGGATAAGCAAAAAAGAGAAGAGGAATGGAATCGGGAACGATCTCAACTAGAGATGGAAAATGCTCAGCTCAAGATGCAGATTGCTAAGGAAAGCGTCTCGGTCGGTGTGAAGAAGAGCGCTGGTGCTCGAAGTCCAGATAGTGAAGAAACTGTCGCGAAACTCAAAAAATCACTTCATGCCAAAGGTCAATCAATCATTAAACTTTTATTGCTCTTGCTCTTGTTTATGCCGCTTTTTTTATTTCGATGATTCTTTAAGAAATGAATACGTTTGGATGGTGGTTAGAATTGAATGAAATGGAACAGGTAGCTCACCTCTATGAGAGATGCTTTGACATTTTGTGGGCGGAACTGATCAATGCGGCAAAATAAAAAGCTAGAAGAGTAGTGGGGTCGTGAAAAAACTCAACTGCAAGTGGAAAACTTCGACTGTTGTTTGAAAAAGACTGATGAAGTGATTGAATTAAAATGATTACTGAATAATGAATACAGATGACCGCATAATGCAGTTGGAGAAGAGTGTCATTGAGCTAGAAGCAAAGTTCCACGAGGAAATGCAACGCAATAAAATGGCAATCGCGACACAGTCCGACACACTGTATGTATTTTGCAAGTGAACAATCGATAACTCATCTGGATATTTGCGTTGACATTGCGAGATTTTGAGAATTATTCAACTGATTGTGTATGAAATCATAAATGAGTTCAGGTCGGGTAAATTGAAAAGAATGGAAGAGGAAAAAAGTGAGAAAGATCGGAAAATAGCTGAATTAACCGAAGAGAAACAACGATTAAGTGAGAAATTGGAAGAGGAACGGAAAAATTCGGAGAGTCGTGTGAATCTTTTGCAGAGGGAAATCGACCGTCTTCGTAGCGGTGATGAACGCAGGTGCGATGATTTTTTACTCATTTCTTGTTCCAGTTTTAGAAGCAGAATACGACAAATGAATTACGTTATGAATATTCATAGATTTCGAGAGGATATGGCTCGAATGGAACAAATGCGTTTGAAAATCGCCGACAGACGATGTTTTACGACTGATCGAGTCAGGAATCGGTTAGAACTCTTTCAATCTCTTCAGTCTCATTCATGGTTTATTTTTTCTTTGATTCTATCATTTATATATTTAAAATGGTATTTTATTGCGTAAGAATAGGTTAACAGTAAATGTTTTTTTCTGAAAGTAAGTCGCCTTTGTTTTCAGTGTTATTTTACAGTGTTGGCAACTGTGCGCTCGTCATTTTCTAAGTCCAATATCGAGAATTTGCGGAACTTTTCCCATATTTCGTGACTTACAATAATATCTCCGAGTAGAAATTGATAATATCGAAGAAGTTGACACTGAAGTGTCTCACCGAATTTCAGATTCAATAACAACGCAAATAATCACGGTCGAACTTCATCAGGATCACGTGTTACGGCACCAACACATTCTCATTCCAGAACACATTCTGCGTCGGCGCTGTTATCGTGCGAATTAGCAAATGATGTCTCGCAACTCTCTGATACTCCTTTGGATCTGTCGAGTGGAACTGGAATGGCCAGTGATAACATATCAGCCAATTTGAATGCAATCAATTCAAAAGGATCTGCATCAATATCCTCTCCATTTCTTCATAATCCATCTTATAAAGAAATGCCGTTTCTAGCTGCGGACTCACCACAATCTGATGAACTGTATAAGTCGTCATTATCGAATGGGTATTCATATTCATCTAAGCCATTACGTTATGATGTTCCGTCGTTCATCGCTAACGGTACCACTAGTAGTATTATGCAGCGACTGCAACCACGAATTAGCGATCCTGTACCTAAGGAACCCGAAAACTGCATTAATAAAAGTGATTTCTTGATAAATGATAACAATGAAAATCACAAATCTGGTGAGGAGGTATGGAATGTTTGAGAATAAGCACTATCAACTGCATATTCTTAATAATTTTTCTGAACAAATATTGACAGTAATCTCACCGAACGATACTTCCATGGTATTGTTGCTCATTTAGTATTCATTAACGGTGTTTTTGTACTTTGACTCACCCGAATAAGATTTCATGTGGATTATTTCTGAGAAAATTCGAATCCCAAGTTCACACTAATTTAGGTTAGGTCACTTCATATAGGATCATCACGACAATAATAATGACAATTATAACTATATTTCGAACGTTATAATACTTGTCCGTTATGTGGTTTTAACACTTTCACTTTTACGACTGCTTTTTTATGGTATACATGAATGAGCCAACTATTTTTTTATGAAATCTCAATTACAGTCACCAAAATAGGGGTATCTTCTATGCAGATTAGGGGAATCAAGTTCGAAAAAACCGGATGACTGCGACAATTTCATCTCTGAAGCTTCATCGTATTGATAAATACAGCTGTTTCGTTGTGACCACCGTTAATTCAGAATTAGCTTTGCCTGCACATCTGTGTCAATTAGTCGGTCACCTAGAATTAAACATTATTTGATATTCTACGGCGATTAGAACCTGAAAACAATCGTAGTATCTTACCGTTATCGTTGTTGTTATTGTTATGCGGAGTAATGATTGCTCGATTTGCGTGAAAGTGCCTTCACATTGATTTTTATATCTTCTGAATTTCGATGCTATTCATATGCGGGTTTTCGCGTTGCCTTCGACTTTGTAGTCTGATCGACTGCGTGCATTTATATTGTTTATGGATGAATAAATTTTAATCGATATGTTAATCAATCAATTCTTGAATGTGTGTATATTCCATTTATATGGCAGTTTTGATGGGGACATCTCGGCACGTGTAGCAAGATTATTTCATCCCCACGATCAGAACAGCAATTGCAGCAGTTCAATTGAAATTAACCACGAAATACTGTCTCTTTGCTACAATTTGAGGGTTCCTCTGCTATAAGGAGAAATTTAAAATCGAATTGTTTCATGCTTCATGTTCACGAAATCGAACAAAACTGGAATAATTTCCTGATCAATGTGAAAAAAATGAGGTTATGTTATTATGTTGACGGTATATCGAAATCGTTGTAAAGCNGTACTTGAATTTTTTGTCCATAATGAAAAGAGAAGCGTAAACTCGTAATGAGTCGTAATTGCTGCTTAAATGAATCAATAAACAATTATTTTGGATGATTCGTAAAGATAAGTCATGCCCGGCCAATCTGCAGCCCGCGAATGCATCAAATGCAGCTCTCAACGTTTCTCGGGATTCCACCAGGATGCGGTCCACAGGGACACCAAGTGAGGTCAATGAGGGCCCCAAGTGGCCCAAGATAAATTCGAAACAGTTGTAAGTCATATTTGAATACTCCTTTCTCAGGTTGACTCGTCATGCTTAGTGCGGTCGCCTTATCCCTCTCACGTGAATGTGAGATCACGATTAAGCGAAAAACTCACGGTGATGAAGATTGAACGACATTCAGTGCAGTTTTACATTAGGGTTGGAGTGAAAAAGTTGAACGAAGATAAACAGTGATCTTGAGAGGAATGGAAATGAATCGTCATGTGGCCAACTTCTGAAGTCGCAATCAAAACATTTAAAAATCGACGTTCGATATGAATCTGAACTATTTGAAATTATGTCATCTAAGGGCAAGATATGTTTTAACTCTGCTTCATTCAGCAACAAACTGCATTCAGCATTTCTTAAACTTTTGCAGGAAACATAATAAAATTCTCCTCGATTAACAAGCGCCTAAGGTCAGAGTGAGGTATAGATCCACACTTAGCGTGAGCTTTTTTCCAAGATCTAGGAGAATTAACACGGGACATAGGCTTAGACCCAAAACCGAAATTGCGCTAACATGACGCTCACCACAGGGCTCAGAGCAAACTCAGCATCTGACCGAGGCTTAAGCTTACCAAGTGCTTAGAATGAAGCTAATCATTAGGCTCAGACTGAAATTTTTTAAAATTTACTGGGATTAGGGCAAGACTTACAGAACGCTTGAACTGAGGCCTATCAAGAGGCTTAATTTGAGGTTCATCCCAAGCATACACAGAGGACTGCTGTGTTAAAAAGGACGGTCAACCCAAAATTCAATTGATTATCGACGGTCAACCCAAAATTTCCAGCTCCTGCGACAACTTTCATTTTCTCCGTACATGTTTGAAATTTCTTCTTTGTCTCCATCTCTGCCAGCTGCTGTTTAGTTCCAAACTGATTAATAACCGTTCTCTACTTACTCAGCTTCGTCTATATTGAATTTACATATTCGTTAACACTCTCCTATCAGTTTCTATCAATGGTACTGTTTCACTTTTGCTTTTTGCTTTCCCAACATGTGATGGTTGCTTATTGATAACATATTGACCAAGCATGACATGCATTGCCAGAAAGTCGAATACGTTGCCGAAATTTCTCAGTCGATTGTTGACCGTCAATTTGTCCTCAGACGAAATACATAGGCAATGAACGTGATCGTCGTCAGGAACAGCCTTGTGTCTCTTAACCTCAACCACAATTGTTTGCGCTTGCACTCAGGGACGGCAAAAACAGATTGCCAGAAATGACTCAACAAAATTAGAGTTTCTTCGACGATTTTGATGATGCATCATTAATCCCTAAAGTTTCAGGCCACCCACTTCGGTATCGCTCACCACCACGACCGCCGGCCGCATCCCACGGCTTGGGAACTCTAATGCCAATCAATCAATTTGAAAACTTTTCGTTACAGGAAAGGGCAGTTTCGTGATAACTACGGTACGCTTCTTCCAGGATTTGCGCTAAAACTTAATAAGTTGCTTGCGACTTCTCAGTAATGTGAACGGTCTGGCAGGAGGTGGTTGTTGCGTTTCATTGTGGTTGATTTGGATCGTGAGTTTTGATGACTTGTTAGGGTCAACAGATTTTATTTTCATGATGCAGCGTCGAGAAGTTTCTCTATTGTTTTGCTGATTGCAGTGTTTCGAACGTTCAGCATGTTTATGATTATTAATGATAGTCATAGGAAGTAACGCGGACTCCTTGTAGGAGGTCGTTGTTATATAGCATTTGCGTATATGATCACTCCGCAAAATCTTTTGAATTTTGGTTACTAAAGTATTCGAATCGTCGTTGACGATTGCAAGGGAATTCAATCATCAAAAACCTTCCGAGACAATAAAAAATGAAAGTACTTTTCAAGCGAGCTTGCATCCAATTTTGATCACATCTTCAATAATCTTTCAGAATTCTCATTTACCTGCGGTATCTTTAAACGTTTATTCCTTGCGCTAAGGTTCATAAGGAGTGGTGTTCTAAGCGTTCGCTGATCAACTTACTCATTGATTTCTTTCTTAACGATAGCAAGTATTTCATTCCATAATTGGAAGTTGTGTTAATAAATATTTGGATGATTTCAATACGACTTGAAAGAATTGAATTTAGCAGTTCGCTGTATCAGTGCTGCTCTATTTGATTATTTTGTCGACCTTTAAAATTATGATTTTCATAGCATTACTGGTAATCTTCCATCGATAACATGTACACGGAGTTGAAAGAAGCTATGAATTTCTTGTCCAGATTCGTTCGTCATACAGTTCCAAAGCGTCGCGTGAGTTTTGTTTTCAAATTGTCTTTTTGTAGGATCTTTTATCAATGTATTTGATCTGTGGTATATTTCGAATTCATTTTGGGAAGTTTAAAATTGCTTAGAATCGTTTCGTTCAGAAACTTACAGTTCTGAGTGAAAATGAAGAATGGAAATGATGAGAGAAATTGTTAATTGTGATACCTGGAATTGCTTGACTTTATAACAACTATTGTAAGGACTAATTATTTGAGTTATCGATATTTTTCGAACAACTCGCCAATGGTCTACTGGTTAAATACAAGGCTACCTGGAATATCGAAAATCCAGCTGAAGGTAATTGAGTATTAAATTTGTTGCTGTGTGGTGGTGATGCTTGTCAATATATTTCTATCTGGTATTTTATGTAACGTTGAAGTGGCCATTTCCTCTGAAAGAAACTCCCCATAATAATGCTACTACTCCAGTGATTTTCGTTATTGCAAATGAGAAAAGATTTGACCATTGAGGCTGGTATGCATGGGAGAAAAAATATCGTAGCCAGTTCAGAACAATGATGAATTAAAGGCGCAGATGAGCGTGCAATCCGTATCAATACATCAACTGGTACAACTGAGTTGGTGATGTTGATTGGTTCAACGATATGCTTGGATATGCACCGTCTTCTTGCAGCATTCCCGGGTATCTTTCTTTCTCACGATCAAACTTGAATTGTTTTACGTGCACTCGAATTGCACATTATGTCAACAGCTGTTTGCTTTGATTTTCATTAGCCGTTAGCAAATGAAAATATGGTCAGTTGTAAGCAAACAAATTGTGTACTTTAATGAGAATCAAGAGTATTTAGGAAATTCCTCGTTGATTAATAATCGTTTTGATTTCATTTTTCATAGCAAACTCAAATGATCATTAAATGACCAATAAATATGTTTTAAGCAGAGCTGATAGTGTTTTGGAATGCGGGTGAAGTGTTCTGTCGTGTTGGTGGTGCTACACCGACAAAATTACCGGTGTGGTCAGGTGACGTGAATGCCGATAAAAATTATTCACCACTGCCATCCGCATTGTCAAGGGTTGATGCCATGAAATCAATATCAAATAGCACTTTGTGTAAGACTTTGCTTTGACTTTTGCTTAAATCAATTAATGAGCAGTTTATAAATTTGATTAATCACATAAGTTTGAAGGGAATTAATGCCTTTAGACTCAAATCATTTGCAAGTGGTGAATGCGAATCATGAAATTGATTATGTGAGACTTGAGCTAGTTCCATGGAATCAACATTCCGATTTCTTTTGGAGTCCGGCTGTGTTCTCACCTGAGAGCGTGAGTTTTTGATTAATGTTTGATCTATTAATCGCATCTACCATTCTGTATATTTAGAATCATTATTCCATTCAAAACAGAGATCAAGAGAGAGGTCAGCCAAATATCATAGCATCGGTGGGAGTCCAAATTGAAATTTGGATAGGAAAGTTGTGTTTTGCTGGTTATGATTTGTGAATTCTCTAATAAATCACTATAAATATGGCAGTACTGATTCGCATATCGCTGAGATGAAAGTATTTGATGAATTTGAATATAATTCAAGGCTTAATTTGTAATCTACGAGATATAATATTGATCTCCAGTGATACTTTTGTGGTTGAGATATTCACTACTAGCGATATTTTCTTTTGCAAATATTTGGACTCAGCAGCGTTCGAATATTAATTATTCCTTCTAAAATTGGTATCCGTCTCATTAGATATCATAATATGTCTTGATACTTTTCAATCAGTTGTCGCACAACAAACTGTTCAAATGCGTGATTTTAATATTACGTCTTCCACTTCGTTGTATCTTCTTTCTTGACCATCACTCTCAAAGTAATGATTTTTGTTTCAGTTATATTCTCTACTTATCGATTGGTCATAGTTTATTGTCATGAATTACAAATATTCCGAATATTTTGTTATGTAGGATAAAAATCTCTAGGTGTATAATGTTACACACGCTTAAAATTACACACTGCTATAAACGACTCTACATTTAAGCACCAATTTTTAAGTTTAATTAAGTTTTCATTGCAATCGAAGTACATAGTGAAGTATTTTTTGTTCACGTTTGTTGATTGTTTATGAATGTGAAACTTCTCGACAGGTACCAAAAATAGTGTTCCGTTTCACTCAAATACCTGAGCAGGTATTCTCATGCGGCACATTTGCTGTCACACGTTTCGGTTCACGTAAACCACAGCCCGATCATGAGGCACTAAAGCGTATACAATGCGCCGTTACGAAAACACCGCCAACAGTGAACGGTTGTAATAATCAAACGAATTCATCATCAGCAAATGTCACAGACTTGACAGCATTGAATCAACAATCGAGTTGGTTTTGTTTGATGTTGCTCGAATGCGATTTATCTCAAAACATTTAAGCAGAGACTTCCGGAATGAATGTTTTAAACTCTTTTTAGTGTGGTGAACAACCGGAAATGAACGTTAGCACTTGATGTGCAAATCGCATCGCACCGTTCATTGCTGGAGAATTTCAAATGAATAATTTATAACTGCATGCGTTTTATATGATTCAAAATTTAGACTTTGAGATTATGTTTTCACTACTCGTTGCTTTTGTTGATTGAAATTTTTTTCTTATCGTGCAATTTAAGCAGTCTTATTTTCAAGTGTACTCTCTTGCAAACTAACCGTTAAAATTTTATTGTTCAAACTGGCAGTGCTCATATTAGAAGACTCTTGCNTTGACATGCATACGGTTCAAGCATTTAACGCTATGATCGAAACTGCATTGTCAATTGCTTCTATCCTCATCATAGAGAATGTTTATTTGAACACAAGTCGAATCTTAATTATCATTTAGTGCTTCCAAATACACCGAATACGCATCCAATAAACGGCACAGCATTCACATTCCTTCAACAATCCGTTCCCGCTGTCGTTTTTCCTAACAACATTCCATTGGCAAATAGTTCTGTAATGGTTAGTTAAATTAAATTTGCAACTCACAAAATCAAATTATATCAAATACCAGTAGCTCTTGAATAGTCGTTAAGTTTCAGTTCAAACGAACTCAAGAAATGATAATTTAGTAAACTGGTACGATGCATCATATTGTCTTTAACTGAATAGTTTTTGCGAATTGCAAAACGCTGTGAACGATACAATGGGTTAGTTGAAGTGAGAGACAAGAATATGGGGTCATCAGACTAATCAGTGTATGATGCTGATGACATTAATGTTAATACCATCGTAACTGAGGTAGCTAATGCTGAACACGGTTATTGAATGGGATCAGATGCAATGTTGTCTAACGATAAGAGTTTTAAAACCGTTCGATATGGTAAGTTGCCACAAGAAAACACTTGCATACAGAAGCTGAATGCAACAGCAATTCAACCGATTTTCAAGCAACTGCTTCAAAATGCGAGTTGCTCAGTCGGGAGTGTCAGTGCATCATTTCCATCGCAATACCAAATTCAAAATCACTCGTCGATAAGCCAACCAACAATGAACCAATTTTATGCAATGGGCGATTGCCCATTTGCAGTATATTGCAATATCTGTAATAGGTATTGCAATGTTGGTAACGGAATTGATATTATCAACAAATGTGTCAATAATGCTCAACATCCATCGTTGTGTAATTTTAATGGTGATAAAGCGATACAACGTGTGAGTAGTTTGATTCTCTGACATTTTAAAGATATTTATTTCATTTCTTCTTATTCATTCTCATTAAACTCATTCTTACTGATCACCCTCATCTTTCCTTTGATGTCATCCTTTTTGAATCCGACGTTGTTTACTTAATGTTTACTTAACTTAGATATGGTATAGAAACTATTCTTAAAGTATGTTAACTCTTTGAGTCAAAATTGTAAAAGAATATGATCGATAATGGGTGAATGAGAAGGAGAAAAAATTGGTAATCAGCGCCCATGGTGAATTTATCCGGCACAATTTATGGTTATCTGCCTAAATTCA